TTCTACAGTTTCTACCATTTTTCTTGACTTTATGTCCTTGTTCTCTCTCTCTCTCTCTCTCTCTCTCTCTCTCTCTCTCTCTCTCTCTCTCTCTCCATCATACCCACTGTATCTATCTAGTTTTAGCATTATATGCCTGGGTGTAGGTTCACCCAGGAAAAATCACCTGTCCCCCTACCTCGTCCCTCAATCCCCAGTTACCATCAATTGATAGCTCCTCAGCTAGGGATGGGACTCTGTGGGCCCCTCCTCCATCTTGTGTAGGTCTTGTAAGTACTGATTATTCTTAAATTCTGTTGGATCAGGTCACCAGAATCATCTCATAACCTGAGCCCTCCAGTGGCTCCCCTGGGATGAACACTGTTCTAGGCTCTCAAGTGTTCTGCCTACTTCACCATACAACTGTGACTATGAAGCAGTGTGTACACATCACAGGAGAAAGAACATCCAACAGGGTCGCTCCAACCTGACCAGCTCATCATTATGATGAGGCCACCATTTATTTAAGTGTTTCAGAAACTCTCCATGGGGATCCCTCTTTAGAAACAGGAGAAAGCATGGGATTGGTGAGCTTGGGGCCCTTGGGGGTTCTCCAGCCAAGTGTTGGATCTTCTGCTTGCATCCTTTGCACAGGCCTGCCAGCTGTTCGTCAGCCTGCAGCCACTTGTTCTGAGTATGGAGGCTCTAATAGCCAAGTGAGGCAGTAATGAGGAACCCTTGGCTTTCTAACTGAAAAGAGAGCCTGGTCCACAGATGGATCATCACAGGGCAAGCAGGTGGATACGGTTGCTAAGCTGGATGAGAGTGCTATGGGGATGCAGACACTGAGCAACTCCATCAGCTTCAGGAGCAGACATTTGATCAATGCTGCCATGGAGACACTCAGAAGCTAGAGTGGGAGAAGCAGTATTGTCAAGGATGAGGGTGCAGAAAGAGGTTTGTAGTGTTGGGAAGGTGTAAGTGGTCTGAAGAGATTAATGGAGAAGAAGGGGGCATCTGGGAGGCCTGTAAAACAGATGTATGTAGAGCCTGGGAAGGAGTGGACTTCGGCCAACTACAGCATGTGAGAGAAGAAGGTAGATCCTCTGATTAAACTTTCCATCAGCTCAGACCCTCTTAGGATGATTCTCCTTCTTAGACAGAGAGAGGTCACCAGTGTTTTTCTGAGATCAGCCCCTTCAGAAGCTTCAGAATCCTGTTTGAGCTCAGTGATTTCTTCCTGAGAGTTTCTCTATGAGAGAGTTTGTAACTCCTTTTCCATGCTTATTCACTCCTCTGGCTGGATACACTCCAGGTGGTCATCATTTTCCCTAAATGTGGTACCCAGAACACAACACATGACTCCAAGTGTCACTCCCTAGCATGATCTTTGATCTGCATTCAAGCATCAAATTCAGTTACCAAGCAGACATGCCCCAGCCCTGAGTCATACTGAACTCGCAGTTAACCTCCATGCATACTGCTGCTAACCTCATTCCCTATTCCATTTAGGGGCAGATGGTTTTTTAATATGAGCACATAGTTTTACATTAATCAGTTTACATTTCCCTTGGTAAAATTTGGTCCATTTTTTCCAGGCTCTCAAGAACTTTTAAAATCGTCCTGCTAGTTTTATGATGTGCTGGGCAAGCATGTCGAGCCTGAGCCAAAGCCCTCTTCCAAGCTCTTCATGATGGTGTTTTATGAGAAAAGGCTGAGACAACCCTATAGACTACCACTGGAAAACCCTCAAAACTAGGCCGTTTGGGGCAGCTTTCATCTTCTCTTTCTGATACTCTTACTTTTCCATATTTGACATCTTCCATTTTTGTGTATAGATTCACCAGAATATGTAGTTCGAAGCTCAACAGGCATAAGTATCCTCCTTGTTCCCTGTAGAATTCACTGTGTGTGTAGCAAAAGCGTTATTTATGGTCCTCTTATTCTCTGAGTGTCTGTGATTTTTTTGGCCATCATTTCTACCTGCATTGATTCAAATTCTTAAGACTCAGAAACATAGTTCTATGTTGACTATGGGCCCTTTCCAGCACAGCGTACTATTTATTCCACATGAACTTGAAAATAACAAGGGCCTCCTGGAAGGGATCTCCCTCTTTGATCAACTTCTTGGTTCATAAAATTCTACTCCATGACTATACAAATTGCCTTTGTAGCCTTTCCAATATTCCAAGGCATTATTGTCACAAAGTGGAAGAGCAAACTTGAAATGGGCTTTCTGGATGGAGTGAACAACAGGAGACAGAGGTGAGAGGTCTACAGACTGTGCGTCTGCGCTGGACTGTGCGTCTGCGCTGGACTGTGCGTCTGCGCTGGACTGTGCGTCTGCGCTGGACTGTGCGTCTGCGCTAGACTGTGCGTCCATGCTTGACTCATCTCCCCGTTCAGATCGAATTGTTCTTTTTTAATTTATTATTTATTTTTATTGATATATCTCTGTGTATACAGTATACCACATGAGTGAGTGCCTGCAGAAGCCAGAAGGGTATGTCAGATCCTTGGAACTGGAGTAATAGGTGGCTGTGAGCCACCTGGCCTGGCTGCTGGGAACCAAACTCAGATCGTCTGTAAGAGCAGCAAATGTTCTTAACCATTGAGCCATCTCTCCAGTCCCTGGGTGTTTCTTGGTGACTGAAAGGAAGCATCATTTCCAGCAATGGTAATTTTGCTTCCATCACCATGAAATGGCAGGTATACAACTCATGAACATTTCTGAACAGTAACAACACAACCTGATGTTCAAACCAACATATTCTGGAAGAAATTAAGGCTTTAGAGAGTTTTTCAGCATGTGACACCATTTCCACCCAAAATTCCAGAGAAACATGAAGACATTTACATTGTCTAGCCAG